CTCCTGCCCTCCCTCCACTCCCCTCCTGCCCTCCCTCCACCCTCTCCTGCCCTACCCCCACTCCCCTCTCTTCTCTCTCTTCCCTGTCCCTCCTCCCTCACTGATTAGCTACCATGTGAATTCAGGGGTGCAGCGCTCCATCACCCAAGACCCTGTGCCCACATTCTCAGGTGCCAGAGCTCCAGGCCTTCTGCTGTGTCTGTGCACCTGGGTGGGGCCAGGGGGCCAGTGGCACAGGGGGACTGAGGAGGGACGCTAGATGACAGCCTACCCCACGCAGTGATCCTAGTCACTGCTTATTTTCTTTTTAAATAAAGGCCCTGTGGCAAAGAAAAATTCACAGTGTCAGGAACGGCTGGATCTAGGCGCTCACAGGTCACCTGTCCTTGGTGTTGGTTTCACTAATGGACAGACCCCTAGCGAAATGGCCTTGACATCTCCAAGCTTACATAGCCTCAGCTGGAGGATCCCGGCAGAAAGAGAGCTTCCCCCCTTCCGAAACCCCAAATTAAACATAATTCATAAATTCTTAGACTCTTTTCTTCCCGTGTTTTTATAGCTCTGAGAGTCATGGCTTCTTTCCATCGAAATGGGCATCATTTTTTCATTCTTGAAGGTGCTTTAGGTAACAATGATGCCGTCATAACTCACGGCATCTCTGAACTGATGCAGTATGGTTGCCTGTCTGCCTGGCTGTGCCCATTCCCAAACCATTCGTGGGAAGAGAATGTTCTGGCCGGCCAGGCTGGGGAGGCCAGTATGTGGAGGTGGTTGTTTCCTAAAGGAACACCGGGATGCTCTTCCTGGAAAGGAGGAGAAAGGGTTGGGAGGTGAGAGCCACAGCTGTTCTCACACGGGGCCCTCGGTGGAGCACCCACAGGGGAGCTGGGACAACGGAAACAACCTGGAGGTGCGTGTGGACCGTGTGTCCGCATTTTCTCAGGAAAGTGGACAGAGGGCCCCTCTTGGACCCTGGGAGAGGGCGGTGGGTGTTCTGGAAGCACCACCTGTCAGCCCAGCGTGGAGACGTTGCCAGGGGCTTTGGAGACACGGTGGGTGGGTCAGAGCGAGAGTCTGGGGCCCGGCTAGAGGCAACAGCACTGGGAGAACCTGCGCCAGGCTCAGGGAAGCCCCAGACCAACTCTGGAGCAAGGAAGAGAGTCATGTCCAGTCACTGAGTGGCCCCTGAAAGAGGAGGCACAGAGCCAGGGTCCCCTAAAAATCCAGGGTCCCCACAGATCCAGGGTCCTCCGTAGAGACAGGGTCCCCACCGACCCAGGGTCCCCCACAGAGTCAGGGTCCCCCACAGACCCAGGGTCCCCACAGATCCAGAGTCCCCCACAGACCCAGGGTGCAAGGAAGAGAGTCATGTCCAGTCACTGAGTGGCCCCTGAAAGAGGAGGCACAGAGCCAGGGTCCCCTAAAAATCCAGGGTCCCCACAGATCCAGGGTCCTCCGTAGAGACAGGGTCCCCACCGACCCAGGGTCCCCCACAGACCCAGGGTCCCCCACAAGACCAGGGTCCCCCACAGACCCAGGGTCCCTACCAAGGAGAGTGGGGGCACCTGTGTGTTCCTAAGCCACAAGGGACCTAAGAAAGCACCCACCTAATCAAAGGGGACAAAGCCACTGATCATGGGAAAACTTGCCGAACAGCCCCCTCGCTGGGTGGCCACTCACTGACTGCAGGCGGGGAACGTTCTGGAGCTGCCCAGGTACCTGGGGTACGAAAAAGGCCAGCAGAGAGGACGTTGTCTCCCTAATGGAAAGTGCTAGAATCTTTGGTACAGATGTTTGCACTGCAAGAAGCAAGCTCAATGGTTAAAGAACGTGTTCAGACGCTGGGTTCGGTGAGGAAAACTGCAGTGGGAGGTCAGCAGCCTGCAGGCCTGGAGGCCTCTGCCTCTGCTCCTCACGCGGGACTGTGCGTGGGTCAAGGCTGAGGACTCAGGGCGTGGAGCTCTT